AAAGAGAAATTGAAATGATACACAGTGTTCTTCAAATGAAACTATTGTGGATTGAAAATGAAACTGAATATCATGCTTGTGAAGAAGACAAATTCTAATTCACTGAACAGACAACTAAATATAAAACCTGGAATAGATGAATCTTCATCAATAACATTTGGAGAAGTACCATCAACTGCAATAGAAGGATTACAATCATCTGTAACAACACAAAATCAAAGCTAAAAAAAACACAACTCATACAATAATATATATTGTCGAATGAGACTAAAGCGAAATTAAAATGAAATTATAGTGTTGTTAAAATGAAACTGATGTCAAAAATTATCAACTGAAACTGAAGTGCACTTCGAATGACACTATAGTGTTCCAAAATGAAATTATTATGATATCAAAATGAAACTGAATACCATGATCCTGAAACAAATGTAGAACTCGAATGAAAATACAATTACATGTAAAATCTAGAATATAATCGTTATCATCAACAAAATTTAGAGAAGGAACATCATATGCAATTGGTGAAATCGATTCAACGGCGATTGGAAGATTATCTTTAACTGCATCACATAGAAACTACAATCTATAAACCAACTAGAATCATACAATAACAATATCAAACGGAAAATACCCTAAAAATTTATAATTACACGATCAACTGAATGAAAGGATAGAAACATGGTATTAAGGAACTGTGATCATTAACAACCAATGAGTTCGCATCAATCTCAGCAATTGTATTGCTTCTACCTAATGTTTCATTCATGTTTCAAAAAGATAAAAAGATCTCCACGCTTTGAGAGAAAGAAGAACAATACGAACGAGAGAGAATGAGAAAAAACGATGAATGATAGAAATTAGCCGTCTGTAGGAGTTAACGACGACGTCTAACTCGCGCCATTCATTAGCATTAAAACAACATCATATAGAAGCCTGAACCACAATCATTATATTGTAGACTGCGGTCCATAGTAAAATTTGCCTTACTTAATAAGCCTCTCTTAATATCATGGATTTTACTTCATCCGAGATGTTAATACTTCCTCTGTCCCTAATTGATTGTCTCATTTGCTTTTTGCACGGTTTTTAATGCAACATAATAAATATTATTAGGGGGTGTTTGGTTGGCATTGAATTGTAATTCAATGAAATGATAAGCTATATTGTTTGGTTGGAGGGAATTGCAATTCCATCAATTCATTGAATTGCAACTCATAGGTCCCCCTATGAATTGCAATTCAATGAATTCATCCATACAATGAAAAGGGAAAAGGAAGGAAATGACATATTTGCCCTTGAGTGTTATTATTATTAATAGGAATAAGGGTAAGTAGGCCACTGAAGGTCCCCTGCCCGCACCTTCCATAACGGAAGTGCGGTGGGCGATTGAGAATTTTACTTCCTCTTTGAACCGCATCTCGATGCGGAGCGACATATTGTCCAGTATGTTCGATGAACTTGGAATATACACGTCCTCAGCGGCAAAACGCAGACAACTGATCCAATTTCTGGAGGAGATTAAGAATTTACCTTTGGGGGAAAGGCCTAGGTCGGGGAAGAAGGCCGGAGATGCCTTGGCCAAACTTATTCGTGAGTGGGAAAGGGAACAGGGTCAATAGAACTTGGGAATCGTAATGTATAGGTTAGGATCATTTTTACCCAAAGTGTGCCACGGGTCGTGAACTTCTTTTCCCGGAGAAGAAGCAATGACGGTATCTGGGGAATAAGCATCGGCTAACTCTGTGCCAGCAGCCACGGTAATACAGAGGATGCAAGCGTTATCCGGAATGATTGGGCGTAAAGCGTCTGTAGGTGGCTTTTGAAGTCCGCCGTCAAATCCCAGGGCTCAACCCTGGACAGGCGGTGGAAACTACCAAGCTGGAGTACGGTAGGGGCAGAGGGAATTTCCGGTGGAGCGGTGAAATGCGTAGAGATCGGAAAGAACACCAACGGCGAAACTGCACACGAGAATGCAATTAGGTCACTGAACTTAAAAAACCTACAATTGAGTCCATAAACTAACTAAATTCATTCAATTTGTCTATTTTTCAGATTTCTCAAGTTGCTAGCAAGTTACCCCTCCACTTAGGATACATATGTGGCATTTTTTAAAAAATAATTTATATTTAAATTAATTTTTTTAATGTTTAATAAATAAAAACTAAAATAATTTATTTTTAAATTATTTTTTAATATTTAATAAATAAAAATAAAATAATTTATTTTTTAATAAAAAATAAAATCCAAGTCCTGGACGACGTCTTAACAAATTATTTTATTTTTAAAAAAAAAACAAATTATTTTAGTTTTTATTTATTAAACATTAAAAAATTTAATTTAAAAATAAATTATTTTTTAAAAAAATGCCACCTATGGATCCTAGGTGGAGGAATAACCTGTTAGCAACTTGAGGAACTTGAAAAATGGGGTGGAAGGATAACATGTTAGCTACTTGAGAAACGAAAAATAGACAAATTGAATGAAATTAGTTTAGGAATCCAATTGTAGATTTTTTAGGTTCAGTGACCTAATTGCATTCTCATGTGTAATTCATGGGCCTATTTGACCCTTATTCAGTTATTCCTTATTAATATTATTACACAAAGGTATTTTAGTCTTTATATCACTTCTCCTATTTCCATTATTCCTCCCTACCAAAAAATGTAATTGTAATTTCTACTTTATTCATACCTTATTATTTTTCCACCGAATTACAATTTATTTACACCTTAGTTCCTTCCTTCCAACCAAACGCCCTGTTAACTTTTCAATTTTGCCCCCTCAAAAGTAGGTATTATTTGTACAAAGTACAATTGTACTTACCTTTAGAAATTTAAAAAGTCAAAATGGTAAATTGAGAAATGTAGAGTGATAATTATGTTCAATTTTGAAAAGATGATAATATTTTGAGACAAACCAAAAAGGAAAGTAAGACAGGTAAAATGAGACGGAGAGAGTATAATTTTGTAGAGGTTCGGAAAATTATTTAGAAGGTCTTGGGACTTAAGTTCAATTAGTATCGCATCAAACAGTATAGCATAAGGTCTCCAATCACAACCAAACTCCGGGGGGACAATTAGAAATACAAATACTCCGTATTTAGGAAATCTCTGGACAATGAACGAATACAAACAAGTAGAGAAGTGCTTAGCGGGTTACCAAGGTTCATGGATTCAAGATGAAGGCTTTCCAACTTAGAAAACTCTTTAGACTTTGAAATTTCAAGCTAATGAAAATAGGAAAAAATACAAGATATCTGTGTTTCATACTATAAGCTTATTATAGTTTATTAAACAACAACTTCGATCTATGGCTGTACACCTCAGTGGCACATAATAACTCAAACAACAAATCTTAAATCTGCACAATCCAAATAAACTACCTGTATACTATTAAATGGATTTCTCTTCACTTACGGTTCATCCGAAGAGACTGTAACTGGGCAGCTAGAGAGTCATAGTCGGGAAGCTTTGGATGAACATGACTGGCTTTCTTTGTATTCTCCTCTCTAGCTAACATATTATCACTTGACCTCGATGCCTCGAAGGTTTCACTAATACCTGAAGCCTGAGTCAAGCGGGATGGCAGTTCTGCAGATGACTTACTATTTTCATCCAATGATGTCTTAGAAACTGATTTCGCTGAGTGGGGCTGCTCGCGGTGTGCCTCCCGGCCTAAGCTGCTTGACTCTGTATGGACTTCAAGTCTTTCAACATCATAAGATTTCCCAGTCTGTTTTTGGGGTTCTTGTCTTTCAGAAGCATAAAATTTCCCACTTGGCTTCTGGGTTTCTTGTGTTTTGGTATCAAAAGAAGTCATAGCAGGTTTTCTTTCTACACCTGACCCATAATTAATGGGTGTTTCAGGCTTAATTCGAACACTGGACAAAGAAGTTGTTTCTGAAGAGGAAGACGAAAGCTTTGTCCTTTGAGAAAATGCACTACCCAAGTGATTTTTGCTCATGAAGGGTTGTCTAGGAGAATGCACTTCAGAATCACTACTATCAGAATCAAAATATGTACCTGACCCTTTTAAGCTGGACTTTGTTTTAACTTCCATGTTTTCCTTTTGAATATCTGATTCATGTCTGTTACTTGAGATCTGCTGAGAGAAGTCTTCATCAGAACTGTCAGGGTCCTGATCACAGCGGGGGTTAAGCGTTCTTGAGCTGGATTCATTGTCTTTCTTCATATTTATCCCAAAACTAGAATTTTCAACAGTTTGGGAAGCAATGGATTGTGGCATCATAGGAGGAATCTCTTCGGGTTTCTTGATTGAAGAGATATCATTTTGACCAGATCTCATGAACGGAGGTATAAAATGCTTGTGCCTAAGGCCGCCTGTTAACTTTCCAAAGTTCAATTCCTTACCATAATCGGAACTAGATTGAGTGAAGTTTCCGTCATCCTTATTTGCACCAGGTGAATGTGACAAGGGGAAATCATCCTTGGTACCACTGGCAATTGATTCATTAGATGACGAATGTGACAATTGTATCTTATTAGTTCCAGTAACTTCTGTAGAAGATCTCACTGCTCCATTAGGGTTGGGATGCATTTGAGAGAGACTAGCCTCTGTCCTGATAAGCTCAGGCTTTTCTATATCCTCGCTATGAGAGCTCCCACCATCTGAATCATCAAAAGTTGCAGGGGCAAAATTCTCCACCTGTGAGTTGTCTGAGGTCGCAAAGCTTCGAGGGGACTCAGGAGGTGAATGCTTTTCCTCAAAACTTTCTGGTGCTGAAGTATAATTTTCTGGAAACTTGTTCATGTTCAACCTAGGGTTCCCAGAATCACCAAGTATAGAGGGATAAGTGAGTACTTTTGTTTCAGGTAATGGAAAGTAGAACGTGGACTGCTGGTCATCATACACAGGGCCTGTATCGAACTTAGTATCATCACCGTCGTCTGAATTAGGTTCATCAAAAACTGCAGAGGCTTCATAATGAGAACTGATCTGCACATTTACCTTCTGAGGATGCCCTTCATCCGCATTGAGAAAAAGATCATCACTAGCTTCATACCTAAAATTTTGGTCATTTGAACTTTGAATGTGGTCACTGTAATTTGAAGTGCTTGGATGAGAAGCATAATGAGCATTTTGGGGATCCTCTATAGTTGTTTCTTCTCCAAAGTAGTTGAAGTTCTCAGATGTCATATTCTTTGCAGAGCCATTGAAATGTTCATGTTCCGAATCATTAGATTGACTGTTCATAACATCTTCAACATTACTGTCCTCTTCCTTGGAGCTTTTCTCTCGACTTAAATCTGCTTCTTGAAGACTAATTACTGAGTCTTTATCAATTGCAACTCTTGACCTTGAGGAAGCAAATGAGATTGGCACCTTTTCACTATCTTCATCTTGTTTGGTACGACCATCATTATGTTGCAACATAGAATTTATATTAGGAAATGATACATTTGGAGAATCTTTAGAAGCGTGTTCACTCATCGTTTTTGAAGCACTATAATTTCCCTTTTCTTTATCTCTTGTAATATCAGGATGTGCCCTCTGTGACTCAGTTGGATACTGCCCCGAAACCCTTGAAAGTTCGGCAGCTGCTCTAGCAGCCAGACTTGCATGCTCTGCAGATTCAGCAGCAGCCCGTGCAGCAGAGGCTGCATCCTTAAATTCCATGTTCCAATTCTTCCTATCCAAAGGAAAATTTCCATCCTCAGCAAATGATTTCCTGACTTCTGTCCTCTCCGACCTAAGCCCTGAGGTGTGACCAACCACTATTAGATAAATGAAAAATCCCAAGTAGAGTGAGTATAAGAAGTATGCTAACAGCTTATGAAAATACCTGAATGTGTCTGTCTGAGTTGAGAAGAGGAAGACTGCATCTTTCCACTCATGCCATCTGGCAGAGAAGCTGAATTGTGCATTCCCATTGAAGAACCTGAATTCATTTCTGAGAAATTGGGAGATGCATAAGGCCCCTGATTATGGTTAGGCATAGTTCTGGCATCAGTACCAAAATGAGGGGGGTCTTCATATATCTTACTGGCCTTCTCAAATGTGTTTGATCCATTCTGGGCAATTGATTGGACAAATTATAATATAAAACTATAAAAGAAAACCAATTTAGTACTACCTCAAGATACTGATGAACTCTTGAAAGCAACAGAAACATACAAGCAAGTCATTAGGAGGTAAGCCTGATTCTCCAAATGATTTAGGATCCCATTTGACACCTTGCTCCTCTGCAATAGCAGTCAATATTTTTAGTTTGGTTTGACCGTCAGGTGACTTTGCAGACAGCTTCTCAACTAACTGAGAAAAAAAGTCAGGCAATGTTCAGTTGCTGGTTTTACAAAGCAGAACTAACCAGGTTTTGCATCAAATCAAATGTACAAATGTTGAAAGGGGAATACATTATCACAAGCAGTATGAACTTACAAGGCGGCTGACACCACAATCCGGACGCAGCTCAACAGCAGCATTGATGAATTCTTTCCCATATTTGGCTGTTAAGTGCTTCCGGACATCTATAAGTTCCGGTACATCTCCACATCTTGGTGAAGCAAATACTACACTTGTAATGGCTTCCTTCAAATCGATGGGGCAGTTTCTGTGGATCCAGCACAAAAAATATATCACAAAAGACAAACCTCTTAAGAATGCGGCTGCCATATGCCAGGGCTTATAAACTTTATTCTGCTACCACACTAAAATCATATACTTTCTGGCAATAATTAAATCATCAAACCAGATTATTGCAGAATTTACTTTTGTGATTCAATGATTGGCAGGCGTGCCACAATTAGCTCACAATATATCTCTATAAGATCATATGCTGCAATCATTTTCTCTTCCCTAACCACATGTTCAACCTGAAAATTTGTGTGTTTAAGAAAAGAAAGGAACTTATTAGAATGTTAGCCCAAGATCACATCACTGGAAACATAAATTCATTAAGCCAAAAAATAAAAAATAAAAAAAAAATAAAGGCGAAGAAGAAGACAGTAATGAAAGCCTTTCTAACCAGAAGGGGCATAATAAAGGTGGTAGAACAATGATCAAGTTTATAACGTAAAGAACCTTTAACCCCCCAGTCGCATCATATTAAAAACTATTCACTAGAATATTGATCGGAGTTCCATGAATATCTTGGAACAGTATCTTGATCAGAGTTTCATGATTACTAATCACCGAATGCTCAAAATAACATAAACAACAGGACTGCTATACAATTTCAAATGAAATGAGCAAAGATGATCATCATAAACAAATCACGAACGCCAGTTTATCAAACTGCATATGATCTGTCATCGCTTGATTCCACACAATTAAAGCCAAAAAAATTGACAGAAAACACTAACTCTATAACAGAAATATCAAACAGTACGATCATTACGCGAATTCGAGCCGTTTGATTCTGCCCTGATTCAAGCAGCTGCGCGAGCTCCCTCTTCATCTGCTTGAGTTGCACTTCTTTCTTGTTCCTCAATAACTTCAATCGTGAAGACGCCAGCTTCAACGATGTCTTGCTGCATTATCATATTAAACACAGTTCCACTCAAATTCAACCACACATATATACAGTGTATCTGCGTATAAGTACATTCCAATCAATCAACAAATTACCATTTAGCGGAATTGAAGCTTTTTGTGAACGCATCTTTTGAACTTCTCAAAAAATTGCTTGATTTCTTCATTGTTTCGAAAGTATTTAATTCTGAGAAGACCTATAACTAGCAGAATTGAAGGTTTTTCCCTGATCTGGATGTAGATTGAAAAATCAAATCTTAGATTGATTTATATAGTAGTAAGGGTTTGTGAGAAATTTTACTTGGATAAGAAGGAAATTAAATGAAATTTCTAGGAAAGATGAGAGGATTCCTGTTCGAATGACGACTAGTGGATTTTTGTTCCACTTTTAACATCAATTTTGCACAAAGTTTCGCGTAGCAAATTTGTAGAGGACATCATATTATACCGGATTTTTTTTGGTTATTAAATTGTGCACTAATTAATTATTTAAAAAAATTACATTGGTCCTTAAGTTATACTAAAATTGACGACTCAGTCCCTTAATAATTATCGTATTCACTTTTTATCCCTCTATTATAAGCGAAGTGACATGTTTGGTCCCCTAACATTACGTTTGTGTCTCAACCAGTTAACCTGACAAAAAACTCAAAAACTCTTTGGAGCGGTAAATAAAAATTCATGTTTTATTCTCCTTATATTGAAACCACTTGTTTTCAAATATATATATATATATATATATATATATATATATATATATATATATATATATATATATATATATATATATATATATATATATATATATATATATAACCACTTTTGCAACACTAATTTTCACTTTTCAACCTCCTATTTCAAGATTTTTCAACTTCAAAAGCATTTCAATAATCCTCGATCGTATGACTTGTTAAGAACCTGAGTCTCGTATAAGAAACATGTGAGACTCAATACAAATAAGAAAACAATTAATTACTATTTTCAGGCGTGTGAAACACACTATCCTAAAAGTTTCTAATTTTCCTTACTAAGCAATAAGGGTAATCAAATCATAATTTTCGAGATACAAGATGTCAATTTTCTCTGGTTGCTTTTAAAAGAAATTCACGAAATGAGTAACTTGAGATTTTTAGTATGTAAAAATTCCTTTTGTAAACTCTGCAGTAGCTTAGTCAATAATTTTATATCTTTACAACATATGAAAATTCTATTTTATATATATATATATATATATATATATATATATATATATATATATATATATATATATATATATATATATATATATATATGTCTATAATCAGACATCTCCTCCTATGTCCTCTTAAAAATTAGAGTGATAAGGAAGAGCATGAGTCTCGTATAAGGAACATGAGACTCAGTTATGGAAGTTATAAAAGTTTTTAGAATTCTCATAAATAAGTCACAAGTTCTTACTACATTACTCCGGTTTGTAAGAGGACATAAGAGAGAATGTTTGGTGATGAATCTATACTGATAGATACCCCCTAATCGGGTACCAACCAGCTGTAGGTACGACGTTGGCAATCAGGTAGAGGCGTATAAAGCACTTAGCAATCCTGGGAAAGAGGCCCCTTGTTGGACTGACGATCGCGTGGCACTCATCAGGCAGTTTACTAGTCGACTCGGTTGGTCGACCAGACTAGGCAGTCAGTGTGTCCCTGGCCGAGTGCGCGCTTCAGAGACGGTTAAAAGCAAATTGAACAGAGATTTTTTCCTTGCACACCAAGTAACTTCCTTTGTTTCACATAAGGAAGGTACTTCAGCAGTTTTAGAAGCTTTCCTAACAGGGTGTTTGGTTGGAATGAAGGAATTAGGTGTAAAAGAATATAGTGTGAATAAAGTGAGAATTCAAATTAAATTGTTTGGTAGGAAGGAATATAATTAGTGGGAATGAGAAGGGAAGAAGTGATATAAAGACTAAAATGTACTTGTGTAATAATAATATTAATAATAATTAATGGTAAAAAAGTATTTTTCTTCCCTTTTCCCTTTCCTTTCCCAATTGAATTGCAATTCATACTAGTATCTTACCATTGGATGCACGGAAACAATTATGATATGGTGAATTAAGGGCACGTTTGGTTCGCAGAAAATATTTTAAGGGAAGTGGAATTGAAATTCCATGGAAAAATAATTATTAAGAAGAAGAATTTAATTGTTTGGTTGGTGGAAAAAGAATTACTCGGAATACTAATTCTATTGTTTGGTTAGATTTGGAATTGTAAGGAATAACGAGTATAAAGACCTATATACCCCTACAGATTAGTAAGAATAATATAATTAAAAAAGAAAACAAGGGTAAAATTGGTAATCTATATCACTTTTTCTTCCCATCTCCCATGGAAAACAAAATCCTTGGTCCAACCAAGGATTTTGTTTTCCTCAAATTTGAGGAATTCATTTTCCATTGGAAAATGAATTCCATGAACCAAACATCCCCTAAGGGAGAAATTAGTAAAATGAAAAAGCATTATAGAAAGGAATAAAAAAATTAGGCTAAAGTGCCAAATCGCACCATGGACCAATTGCGATTTTTCATGCCGCACCCTGACCTTTCATTAGTGCATATTCGATGCACAAACCGTCAAATTTTTTTTCAATTAGTCTTTTTTACATGTTTCTATGTAAACTTGATGACATGGAGTTGGTCTTAATCCGACGTGGAGGCTGTGTTTAACATTTTAGGCTAATTTGTAGAATTTATAGTTCATTCTTGTCTTCTCCCTTTCGCAAAGGTAATAGTCGACGACTCACTGCTCACTGTTTTTCAACGACATAATCAACTACAACTATTTCCTTCAACGAAGTAGTGGTGTCCGACGAAGATGTCATCTTCCTCGAATTCATCACGAGTGAGAGTAAACATAGAGTACGAGCCTAATGTTTATTGTACTTGTGAATTGAAAGCTCCTATTTGCACAATTTGAGAGTCGGGAAAGCAATTCTTCGAGTGTCAAAGGTGGAAGGTACGTATTTGTTGAGCCAATTTTGAATGAATTTTGGGTTTCTTCGTTGGTTGGGTTTAGGGTTTTTTTTTTTAGTATTTTGGTAATTGTAATTTATTTTTTTGGTTTAAAATTTTTAGCTTTGGATTTATTAAAATTGTATTGTTTGTCTAGGATGGAAATGGATGTGGCTTCTTCCTTTGGAAGGATGACAGTGCAAGGAGGGGCGAAGGTGACCATGAACAACTAAAGAAGTTGGTGGTGTCTATGAAGGGTGAAATAGAAGGGGTGAGAGAACTAATTGTAAATGAATATAGTGCTCTGAAAAAAGAAACCGAATTGTTGAAGATAGTTCTCTTAATTGTAATTGTGGTGCTTTGTAGCAAAAATGTTAAGTTAAAAATTGTAATAGTTTAAGATTGTAATGAAAATTTGCCAGTTTCATTTTCCAATAAGCATTTAGTATACAATTCTTGTATGTTCAGTTTCCAGTGAAGCCAAAAGGCCATAATTCTTGACAGCAAAAATGGCTAAATTTGTTCACTGCCAAAAATGAGTAGTAAACTGCCAAACATAAGTTCCCATTCACAAACATAAGTTTCCATTCACATTACACAGTTAAATGGTCATTGCCAATACACATTAAGCAAAATGCCTAAAATCAGTAGCCAAAATACATTCACCAAAATAGCCTAAATGAACAGTGCCAAACTACCTAAAATACATTTGCAGTAGATAGTTAAATCAGTAGCCAAAATACATTCACCAAATCTTCCTAAATAGACAATGCCAAACAACCTAGTCAAATTTACAAAAAACCTTTCACCAAAACAACCCAAACTCCATGAAGACCTGCAACTCTTCACTGTTATGTGCAATCTACAAATATAAACAAAAGATTAATATCATAATCAAATACTCATAGAAAAAATATCAAATATACATACACAGTTAGCTTAATGTAATTACCTGACATTCCAATACTAATTTGTTGAGATAACAGTCCAACACCATAACTTTGAGCAGCCCCCCTCTTACTGTTTCAGCAATAGTAGCTCTTCGTCTTCCTCTTTCAGCACTAGAAGCCTTCCCTCTTCCTCTTTCAGCAATAGTAGCCCTTCCTCTTTCTCTTTCACCAATACCAGCTCTTCTTCTTCCTCTAACAGCAGTAGAGGTACCAGCATAAGTTGCTCCTTGTTGGCTTAACAAACTAGGACAAAATCTTTTGTTGTGTCCAATGTTGTAAAAATCGTGACGAGGAAGGGCGGAATCGACCTCCTCCATGGTCGGGCAGCTAGGTGGCCGCCTAGCCAGTTGAACCGGTGATTTTTTTTTTTTTTAGTTGTAAAGTGTCAAAAGTTTGGTAAGACATAACTTTTGACTCGGTTGTCCGTTTTGGACAAATTTCGAGATCTATATGAAACAAATAAGGCGGTTTTCCCCTCAAATTTCTCCCAAAAAAAAATCTTATTTTGCTCTTAATTTTAGTTTTATTATGTATTTAGATGGTTTCAACAATATTCTGAACCATTTTACAAGTAATTATGTAAATAGTTTGTACGAAAAAACTTGAGGAACCTTATGTTTTATACTTTTATTAATGAATTTTTATAATTTTTAGTTTTTTAAAAAAAAATTAAAAAATAAAAAATAAAAAGTCAGGCGCCCCCTCGGCGCCAATGTATTTTGCAACCTTGGTTGTGTCGTTTACCTAGGGCTGTTAACGAACCGAACATAAACGAACGGAGCTTGTTCGTGTTCGTTTGTTAAGGTTTTTGAAAATCCTGTTCGTGTTCATTTGTTAAGCGTTCGTTAGCATTCGCGAACACGTTCATGAACGTGTTCATTAACATTAACGAACATGTTCGCAAACGTGTTTGTTAACGTTCGTGAACACGTTTGCGAACGTGTTCATTAACGTTAACAAACACGTTCACAAACATGTTCATTAACATGCACGTTCACGAACATATTCACTTCCGTTCATGAACACGTTCGTGAACACTTAATAAACAAACCATGTTCATGAACACAATTCGTTCGTATACAATAAATAATCTACGTTCACGAATAATAATCAAACAAATAACAAAACTACAAATATAACAAAACTAATACAAATAACTTAATAAGTCCATCCGTAGCATCTAATATCAAAATAAAAATCCAAGTCCACATAATTTGTCTGCTCACATTACAAGCCAAAACAGGGCCAAAACATAAAAACATAAAGCATGATATATTTATATTTTGCATCTATCATCCCAAAAGCTTCATACCTTAACTCTAAGTTCATTCCAGTGATATATTCTTCACATCTTCAGTAAACTACATTAAATGATATATAATATATTGTTATATGACATAAAAAGTATTGAAAATAAATGATATAATAAAATAATTGACAGTACTTACTTTTGGTTTTCTTTTCATATCATATAAGTTACGCAACCAGTCACTTCCACAAAGTAGCATTTGGACAGTATCGGTCCCTAAAGATACCCGATATGTATCAATAACCCTACCACCAGCACTAAATGTTGACTCTGAAGCAACCGTTGTGATTGGAATTGATAAGATTTCACATGCCATTTTAGATAATACTCTGAACTTCAAGTTTATTGACTTCCACCAATCCAATGCATTAAATTCAACAGAATCTCCTTCACAAATATATACACCCTCCTGTAAATAAGTATCCAATTCAGACTTCACATGTTTGACAGTATCAACATTTCTCACAAACTTCTCAAATTTTGATCTCCCAGTTTCAACAGCCGGTCCCTTCCCTCTCCAAACAGTAGTAACACATTGCATAGAAGTATTCCTTGCTTGAGAATCATTTTCCATTAATTGGTTTGAAGCTATTGTATGTTTATCCAAATAGATCATGTATAACTCATACAAAGCATCATGAACAATACAAATTTGTGTAGTAGCTTCCTTTTCAGAATAAATGACTGGAAAAACAAATTGAATAAATGTCATCTTATTTCTAGGATCTAAAGCAGCAGCAATAGAAAGTAATAGATTGCTACTACCCCAATATTTGTCAAACTTATGCTGCATCCTTTGGCCCATGTTTTTCATCCAAGGTTCTACACTTTTAGACTTTTGACCGAGAATTTCTTTGATGCTATATAGTTCAGGAAGAAACGAATTTGCTGTTGGATATTCAGAACCTATATTCAAAAAATAAATACTTTAATTATATAATAATCATATATATTGAAATGTATAAAGTTTAGAACTGTATAATAAATTACCTGAGATAATTTTAGTAACTTCATTGAAATGCACCAATAAAGAGCAAATCTCTTCAACTCTTTGCCAATCATCCTCAGAAGGCAAGCATTTGTAATTTGGATCTCGAAGTTGATACCGAGGAAATACTTGCTTGAAATCCAAAGCACAAGACAACATAGCAAATGTTACATTCCACCTAGTGCAACAATCTAAAATCAACTTCCATTTAGGCACTTGGAGCCGTTTGCAAATCTCATTAAAACTATGCAACCGTTGAGGTGAGGCACTAATATACTTGACACTATCTCTGACATTTTCAATGATAGACTTAATCTCAGAAAGGCCATCTTGCACAAGAATGTTCAATATGTGTGCACAACAACGAACATATATGAAACAACTTACCTTCTAGTGGCAAAGTTGTATGAAAAGAAAGAGAGTCATGCAACAACCTCACAGCTGATTCATTATAAGAAGCATTATCCACTGTAATTGTCCACACTTTCTCTTCAATACCCCATCCTTGCAAACATTTGTATATTGCATCACAAACACATGTACCGGTATGCGGGGGAAGCACTTCAACAAAGTTTATAACTCTTTTCTGCAACTTACTGTCCATGTCCATAAAATGAGCAGTTATCACCATGTATTGAATGTTCTGATTTGATGTCCATATGTCAGTTGTGATACTAATTTTGTCAACTAAATTCAACAATTCTTGTACTCGTTTCTTTTCTAGCTCATAAGTTGACCAACAATCTTTTGTGGTTGCTGTTCGACCAATTCGCTCATAATATGGACTTGCAGATTGCATGACTATGTTGAAGAGTTCATACTCAACAAACGAAAATGGCAATTCATGAACCATAATCATGTGAGATATAACCGCCCTCATCCTTTCTTGGCCATACTTCCAACTCTGAACACCACTGACACTCTCCGATTATTGTGTCGATGGAACCACACAAATCTTCCTATGCCCTGAAAGATTGATTCTGCGTTTTATGCAATTGTCTAAATGTCTTTTATATTGTGTGGTTGTGCCATCCTTTTTCTTTTTCAATTTAAAGTTGCAATGATTGCATTGCACTTTTTCTTCCCCATTCTCAAGTCTCACCACTGTCATTCCTGCCAAATAACTGATGATTTTTTCCTTTGCTTCTTCTTATAAGGTTCACCTTCTCTTTCCACTTCTTCAACTTCTCTGCCAATGTCCTTTTCAACATCACCTTCAAATCCGATGATTTCCACATTTGGATGATTTGGTGTTGGATTTAGTTCTTCCATTTCA